GTAATTAACCGCTCTAAGACGGCATTTGTGCTTTCAATATTAGCTTCTGCCGCTCGCACAAGTCACTCATTTTCACAGGAGTTTGAAATAGGAGGGAACTTGTTTCTCACAACCAAGCAGACAAAAACAAAGGGATACGACCAATTTCACGCCAAATAATGCATCTCTGCTGCGACCGCCAGGCTTCTGTCACCCGTCTGATGGCCGCGCACTGCCCCATAACGCCCTCGCCGGCGTGCTTGGCGACACTCTCACGGCCACCGCAACTCCCCATTCTGGTGCACCCTATCCCTGGTAAACCTGACCCCCCCCACTTTCCCCTTTGCAAGATGAAGAGAAAATACAGAGAGAAAAAAGGGCAGCTTGTGTACTGTCAGCTTTGTGACACCATACGCACATTGGACAAGGTGCTGGTTTTACGAATAGGGACTCGCAATAAAGAAACATACTGAGCAATCGCTTTAACAGTGGAATTTTGCCGAGTCACCAACTTGGAAGAAAAATTACAAAAGGGCAGACCTTTACAAGTGGTTTCTTTCTATGGCTCTTTGATAATGTCCGCCTGATCACTCCTGTTACAGACAACATCTAGCAATGTCTTGCTTTGCATTGTATAATGTTCATCGGCCGTTTTGATGGTCAACATGGCACCGGATGTTTCCCCATTTGCAAATGTCGTTGATATCCAATGAAACAAAGTGTTTCCCTTACAACTCAAACAGTCAGCACTCTGGTCAAAGCTATACAAATGTACACAATGCAAGAAGGGAAGCCAGGATACATACCGAAGCCAAGTGAATTATCAAGATGCCCTCTACTTTGACTACAATTTCATTATTCGAGTACACTTAATGTTTAAAGGTGTACATTAAAGGGGTACTCTGGCCATTTGTGGAGCTACCCAAACAAATTGCATTTTTTTAATACCCAAACTTCAGTCTTCATGATACGCTATTTCTTGACTTAAAATTCAAAATAGCTATTGAGAAAACTAAATGAAAATGATGCCGAAACCAACATTCAAATTTTTGTGCGCTCTCCAGTGGTGTGATGACCCAATTAAAGACTACCCTTGCGACACTTTCAGGTCGCAAGGGTAGTCTTAAAAAGAGTATGTCTAGCTTTCTTTACTGCTTCTCAGTGAATGAGCTCCCAAGCATTCTTTTCCCACAATCAAACATCTTGTAGTCAGTTCACAACGTAGTATACTGCTTACTTTGCACCATTTCTGTCGTCACACTTCAGTGTTGTCAGTAGGGGCTCGGTTTGGGTAACCGGACAGAACCTCACTGGACAAAAGCTCACCGCTTTTTTGCCGTACCCAGACAGAAGCTCACTTTTCTTTTTTTAACGAGCCGGACGAAAGTCTACTCGGGGTAAAATGGGCTGGGCTAAACTGCTGGCTAACTGCGGTCACGTCAAGAGCCCTCTGAAAAGTACAGGGTGTCCCCCCCAACAAAACTTCACAAGGTTTTTACCGCAAAAATAAACTAGGCATTGCCAAACACTCATTTTCCATCCAAATGCAGCGCTAGAGGACCAAACCAGACACCAAAGTTTCAGCACTAACTGTTATCTCATTCAAAAGTTACGAGTGATTCTCTGAAAATTTCAAGGGGAAACTGGCGGAGAACAGAACTCTCAAATACATGGAGCTTTACAACACCAGAAACCAAAAACAGGCAAAAATTATATTTATTTTCCCATTGAAATTTTCAGGAAATCACTTTTAAATTTTAATTAAGATATTGGTTCATGCTGAAAATTTTACATCTGGATCGGACCTCTAGTGCTTCCTTTGGGTGGAGAATGAGAGGTCGGCAATGCTTAGTTTATTTTTGCGGATAAAAAAGCACTTTAAATTTGTATCTTTCAAACCCGGCTAAAGACCGACGACCAGTTTGCGCTTTCCACTTTTCTCCCGCTTCCCCCCCCCTTCTACACTTGTCCACCGCTGCCTGTTTCCTTCTCCCCTATGGTGAGGACGACCTTCTGCCTTGCAGAAACTGGAGTCTGGCCTTTACCAAGGACAAACATTTAGAGGTCGTGTTGGGATTTTTCCCACGAGTGGATCACTCAGGATGACCGTGCTCAGACAATGACCGGAATTTCCTCCAGAGCTGTGGAATCTGCGCGAGGCCACGCCAAGGGATGAGGACAAGACCAATAACTTGTGTGAAGGGTAGAAGAACGGGTTCCACACGCTTGTGGGAGAGGACCATCCAAGTGTCTGGAGGCCGATTGAATGTTTTCAACTCGATAAAGCATTGGTCACTATAGCTACATAATTTCTCATAAAACACAATGCTTAATTTGCCATATCATTTGAGCTCATGTAGAAAACCAAACAATTTTACCCAGGTGAGCTTTTGTCCGGGTTCATGAGTAAGAGTGGTGAGCTTCTGTCCGGTGAGCTTCTGTCTGTGACTCCTCAGTTTGAGAACCACAAGGACAACGAAACTTGAAAATGCAATAACTTTTTTTACACAATACTTGGGGGACTGGAACAGCCGTGTCTATCAGTGTGTTGAATCACTTTTGAGGCAAAGCAGCAACCATAAAAAAATCGCCGAGTACCCCTTATGTTGCATTTTAAAATTCTGGAACTTCTGTGCACCTCCCACAGCTGTTTTAACAAATACACCGGGTCCTTCTTTAGTAAAGCAAAGCTCTCAAGACCATTAATACAGCCAACCAACCATTAATAGAGCCTTGAACTCATTGCAGACTAGGAAAGAGTTTAAACCATGCTCTGTCTTCAATACGACCCTTATCGGCCATTCTATGTTGAAAATCACGAGTCAGATCTTTTGGCATAGTGTGCACTAAAGGAAGTGTCACAGTACAATCTTAAGGTTACAGAACAATCTAGCAACAGTATAGACACTGTGAAAGCACAAAAAGTGTGACGAGAAAAATTTCAATCCAATTAAACAGCTCAATAGGAAGCTGTACAATGCCACGCACATGCATTTCTGGTGCATTCGCACGACTGAGTTCCTCTCCGAGGAGAGGATTAAACGTCATCGAGCTTTGAGGTGACATGTTCCGCGTCGCAGATGTTCGCTAATCCCCCGAGGTTGCGGGGAGCCAAAGAGAATCAATCTGTGACCGGCCACAGACAGAATATCTGTTCCTTTGTCCACCTGCTTTTGGAGAAGGATTATGACCAACAGCGTGTGGGGCAACTTTTCTTTTCCCCCTGCTTTTAGTTCGACGAGTCCCCAAAGGTCGCCTGGAGGTTTGCCAAAAGAAAGCTCCACATGTGACTCCGCGTGCGAATGCTCGCTTGGATTTTCTGCACCGCATCCGCCTTCTCGTGTCTTTTCCTTCTCGCAGCCCTATGACGTACTCGGTTTTCTCCATATATCTCTCGTGCAAACACACCATTATTCGGGCAGTGGTTTCACTGCACGTTTCAAGGCCATGTTTCAAACTAACCACTTTTAAACAAAGGGATTTTTTGGCCCGGTTCACGGGCCGGAACAGACAAGCAGGTTGTTGCAAGTTAGTTGCTTAGTGTGAATAATGAAACTGACCAGAAGCAACTTTTTGCAGCCTCACACAATTGCTGCCAACTTTTTTTGCGTAGGTCGAGACAAGTGAAAATTCGCTTCATCAGATACCTCAATGACTCACACAAACTGGGAAATCTGGTGTCTCCTTGACAATGGAAAAAGCACAAAAACTTTACATCATACAACCCAAAACTGAACCTCTATGAAGATGATTGTGTCCTTGAGAAATTATATGGCCCCAGCTGGTGAACACTGTTATTTCTGGCCCAGCTTCCAGAAAATCCTTCCGTTTTCAATCTCGACCCCAAAAAAGAGTAAACTCAACATGACTCCGTTTTAAAATCGAAACAATAATTCACGATTGTGTTTTCGTATATTCCCAACACATTTGAAGTACCTATGACATTTAATAACCCTTTCCTTTAAAGTTGGAGAATGTAGACCACAATATATTTATTTCATAGCAACTTAATTTTTTTTTTACAGTGGAATTGTAGACAAGTTTATTATGCATAGAAAAGAAGTGGTATGTGAACAAAGCTAGCCCAGATCACAAAATTTCTTTCCCGAGATATTATTTAGAAAGTGGCACTTAAAGGGACACTGAAGTTGATTCTGAGATCGTCCTTTTGTGGAGACAATTCAATCTAGACACTCTAAGCATCCTAACCAACCCAAAACCACAACCGTGCGTAGCTTATTTCCTCGTTAAAAGCGTGTTCAAAGATTGTGACACGCTCTTTTTGAGAAGAATTTTCTTCCGAGTGCAATGGTCGATGAAAGACGCTTGTCGGCAAGGTGCAAGCGATGGCTTCGCCCACGGAGAAAAAAGACGAGCCTTATTTGAATGTGTAGCTATCAGACTCCCTTCAAAACGAGTTATAATAAAATCATTCGGAATCTGCACGTATGTAGGGCTTTGATTGTTCCACACAATGTAATCCGCGACAAAAAGAGTCTTCTATTGCCCCGAGATGAATAGGCAGTTTTGTAATATAGGACTTGGTATATGTGAGAACACATTTTAAACAATATAAGATCAAAAATGACTTTAATGCCCCTTTAAATGTAAAGAGGAACAAGATGTTTTTTATTTCAATTCTTCCGCGTGGCTAAATTGATCTATGACATCCAAAAGTAGTAAAAAGACCCAAATTGTTTACATGTGCATCCTGTTTCCATGCGATAAATACTATGGCCAAATAAAATATGTCTTTTCCCTTTTGGAAGGAAGCAGTGTATGTGCACTGCCACAGCCCAAATCCTTTCCTTCTCAAAACCTTCACTGCTTTGCTTGCATCTATCTTTGTGTATTTACATGGAATCTGTCATCGCTTCATACTGATTCCCACTCACCTGCTGCTCTAACTAGTAAACTACACATTGAGCAAATAACAATAAACAATAGACCGAGGGCCGAACTGCTAAGCACAGTCTTCATTCAGCACTGACAAGTGAAACAAAGCCTAGAAAAAAAGTCACCTTTGCAAGGCTGGCCGTGAATAAGACACATTCGTAAGCATCTCCCACTCGCTGTAAGAACTCATCTACATAAGGCCTCTTTAAAACATAAACCTGCGGAAGAAGAAACAAGACAAAAAAACAGATTACACGCCAGACACACAGAGGTCATGTGCACTCAAGAAGAAATTTGAGCCACAACTGAAGCAGCGCCTAGAAATGCCATCCTCAGCACAGAACAGAAAGCGCCTGCAAAGTTGTACCATAATTTCAGATTGTATTACGTGCAGTGAACACAGGGAAAAATTTGCGCAGAAAATTCCTCCGCGTGCGCAATGTGTGGTATTGGATGTCTGCGGATTCAACTCTAGAAATTTAACAATCCAACAAGTGCCGTGTAACTAGCAATTAAAATCCAAAAGCTCTCTATGAAGTTTACAGGAAGACGCGAGCAAATAGAAGTTAGACATTTGTCAAACTTCATCAAGGATAAATGAGGAGCATGAAAGTATAGTACCTACTAAATGCACTACCAACAAAAGCTCTTTCTCCTTGCCCCTCCATGAACAAGAAAAACCGTGGCATGCAGTTTAGGCAAGCGATTCGGACACCTCCAGAAGAGCCTGGTTGTTGCCCAAGTCGAGTTCCCAGTCTCCGCACATGCATCCTAACCAACCTCTCCGAGTGGATTGCATCTCTTGAACAGACGGTAAAAATCACCGAGGGGGCCGCAACCCTCACTACAGTGTTTACGTATTGTGGAGACAAATTAGGCATTTTCAAAGATTGAATCAGTGTGTACAGCCCAAAATTTTATATAGGTCACAACTATCTTTTCCCACATTTGCTCTACCCAGAAAAGAAGCAAATTTATAGTCACCCTCTCCCAATGTAAGGAAAAAAAAACATGTAGAAAAATTTAAATTACTAGCTAAAGATGGTGCCAGTCATGTTACATAGATCTGTCCCTAGTAACACCGTAGAATACCGTGCATCCGCGCCCACCCCTAAAATTTGAAACACCTGAAAAAATATCCGCAGTACATATATATGTAAAATTGATGACCTCACATGCGCCCATCCCCCATTTTCTTGCGATTATTTTCAAATTTTGAGGGGGCGCTTGCTCGGTATTTTACAGTCATTTTTTAATATAGTTTAAGCACTATTTCAGATGTGGATAAGCCATTAACGGGCACTATTGTTTCCAAGGTCTGTAGGCTTCACTGCATCAGCGGGGTCTGGTTCCTCGGCAATTGCTCGGGGCAGATAGACGGCAATGCTGACCTACACCACCCAATTGGCTACAAACATTGCCCGTAGGTGTCCATCAGAGCCGTGCAGTCGCTATGCAGCCAAATTACCCTAGGCTTCTGTTGTTAGTTCATGCCTGAGGCACAGAAAGTATGCACAGCAAGATTCCAAAGGACGTCTTTACCATTTGTGTTTGCATACAGAAAACAGAAATTCACCCTCTAAAGATGAAGCAAAACAAAAATGGCACACCCTGAACAGTTGCAAAACACCCAAGTTTAACATAACACCGAATAAAACTGGTTTGCCCTCACAGATTGCAGGTGACCTTTGGGTCCTGTCTATGAAATAGAAGGAACAGAATAAATTTACAACTCCCACCAACATTCCTTCACATCAAGAGGCTCGCATGGTGCAATTAGACAGTTCATGGGCAACACAACTAGCACACGGAATGCTGCCTGGACAACATGGTTGCCATGTTACACATAACGCAAGCAGCTTCATTGAGAACTTTACGAAAGAACGGTCATATAGCAGAAGTGATGTACGTACCTGGTGCACTGTACCATCTATTTCTACGGGAACGACAAAATCTGCGTTGCTGATGGGCTGAAATGAGAAAAAAAAAAAAAAGGCCACTAAGCAAGACTTTTGACATGACCGTCCTTCATGACAATGGCAACGTTTCATTTCGTCACCGTTAGCTCGGTCACTTCTCAATGACAGCTTCACAATTTTTGCACCTGTACACTTTAATCAGCCAGGGGGATAACAGGGCTCCTAACATAAAGCCAACATAAAGGAACTTGTGAAAAAGTACATCACCCCACCGCTTTCTCAAATGAACTGGACTGAGACCACGGCTGTAAAAGCGAGACATCAACGCAGAACATCCGTTAACAAAGAAACACGTGTCCACCACGACTCTATGAGACTTTTGTACGATGAACGATAAGCCAGAACTCCACAGCAGTGAAACATATGACCTCGTCAAAGATGCATTGTGTGCCTTTCATTCTGATGTTTCATAGGAGGCTAACTTTTGCACATAATTATGCAATGCAAGGTCAGCTTGGACTTCAGGAATGGCACCATTTATAATCATGCCTCAATTAAACTGACAGCCCGACATATCAAACAAAAACTTATGCAACCTATTCACGACCCTGTCAGCCCAGCTTGACATGTTGCACAACATGCAGCATAGACTCACCTTGAATGAACTATGAACCAAGGTTTCGTCTAAGTCAATGATGAGACAAATCTTGTGTAGGTCTTGATGACGCACAGGAGGCAATAGGAACTTTCCCTGCAACTAAAATTGGGCCGTGTTATGAAATACTCAGTACTAAGTACAAGGGACGAGAATTTTCATAGATCATTCCTACACTCCCATATGCAAACTGCAGCAGACCCTCTCTGAAATTCAGTGTCGTCTAATAGCACAAATGTAGCAGCTCAACTTTTCCCATACTAATGGCAGCATTGAAAATATAGCATTTCACTGCACATCATCACAGTCGATAGCAGACAAAATTATGTTCTTAAGCGTAGAGCTGCTTCCCAATTTTGGTGCTGATAAAGGGTCAGTCAGTCAGTACAGAGTATGACCCGAGTAAGCCATTGATCAAACTTTCCACATCAAGAAGCTTTAGAACAAAAGTGCTAACAGACTAGACCAACCTCAAACGAACACAGACACAGCACTTGAATCCAATTTGTGTATCGCATTGTGCAGCTACCGCCTGCAATGCTGAGGCCTCATATCATCTGCTTGGTCAACTTTTTCCCTCATCAGTCAGTTAGTATGGCACAGATGTCATACACTCAGATGACGATAGTGATCAAGGTGTCCAGAGTGAATTTCAGAAAGGGTCTCTAGTGACGTCACTGTTGCGCATGTACACCGCTGTTGGAAAAATGTGTTGCACCAGAGTGTAAACTGTGAAGCTCAACATGGTCACTGCTGGTTTTGCATCTCCAACAAGTAAGCCTGCAGAAATACTGAGTGATGCCAACAAACATGGTGGCAGATACCTCTTTAGGTCAATCCTTCTTATTTGTGCAGCCCATAGCTTTCCTTATTTTCATAGCACAATTAAAATTAAATTTCTTTCCCAAAAAGTGGTGAATTTTGTCAATCAGTACTTTCACCTAAGCAGCCATATTGAGAAAATGTTACAAATATCCATAAATGTGTGAGATTCAACAATTCGTCTCTGTAAGGGTGCCTATTTATCACTGATATTCTAAAACAGCCGTTCATGGCACTGCATCCGTACTAGTGTGTGTGCTTTCCTAATTTCTAACACAGACAGAAGGGTCAAACAGGACAGCTTTCCAAAGCCCCACCAAAAACCTTTGGCACATTTTTCCAACAGGTTGCAGGCAATGTAGCACAAGTGAGGAAGGAAGTCATCATCCCAACCAACAGACATTAGAAACCTTTCAACGTGTATTCCTGATGCCGGGAAGTCATCATCCAAGACATTATCAGAATGTTGTTATAGCACAATACGCCGCAATATACGGACACCAGATTTGGACAGAACCTTTGCAAAGTTAATGTTCATCTCCCTTGACGTTATGGGCACTTTGCAGACGTCTCCCCACCCCAAAGGTGCTGCTACCCATTTCAATGGGGTGCACTAGTAGCTGACGTTAGACGGCGGTAGTCTTTACCAGGTTAGTGTTACTGATTTTGGTATACTCTTGAGCTGCATACTCTCTACCGAGCATGGGAATCTGCGACGCCTGGTTTTGCTGCACTTGTGCAATTGGAGATGACGACAGTGGCGCCATCGGTTGAGAGGTCGCAGCTTGCTGCTGCTGTTGCTGCTGACGCGACAACTTTGTCACCTGGATAGCCCCAGCACCAAAAAGGTGTTGTGTAAACACTGCGATAACAAAAACCAGCAAAAAAAAATATTCCCCCGAGCGTTACGTGAGCAGCGCTGTCCACCGCAAACAAAGTGAATAAATGTTTGCAGTACCGAATGTTGCCACGGATTGTTCCAAGGACAGCCGACTTTCATAGTTGTGAACACTGCAGTGCTCGACTTTTCGTTAGTATGCTCGCCTCCCCCCCACACACATACAGAGTGAGACAGTGGAGTACACCGAGCTTGTGCATGAGTTTAGGCCCGAAATTAACTCACTGAGAAATGGCTTTGAAGCCTCTTGCAACGGCTTAGGACCAGCTCCGCAGCAGCACATTTGGTTCTAAGCCAACGTAACCAGAAACCAATCTTGTCTCGGTCATTCCTACTCGGTTGCAAGTGTGTGCATGGGTTTAAGGCCTTTTTTCTAGTTATTCCAGAGGGTGCTGAAATCAGTCTTCTTCCACCACTAGTTTGCATGGCTCATGCAAAAACGTTACTTGGGTCGTATGACAGTGCAGACGTTTAGAAAAGGTGCAAAAGAACCGGTCAATTTTTTTTTCAATAAAGTATATACATGTGGCAACATACAGTAGTTGTTAAGGCAGTCTCACATTTAAACAAACAAAACTCGTTACTTCCCATGTTCACCCACCATTTACTAGAAAAACCAAGGACTACAGGTCATTATGTTTATTGATTGGCATCTGAATTCAATCAGAATGGCCATCATCCTTCAGAAAAGCTGAACAATATTAATCAACAGTCTGATGAGAAGCCAAGCTTCAAAAATATATTGCCCTCATGAACAAGAGTTCATTTCTAAACTTCTTTTAACAAATAGAAGAACTTGTTTGCAACATTTACAAATTTATGCATATACAGGGTGTTTGATCTTAAAGGAATACTTCAACGAAATTTGAAAAACACCCGTCGTGTTCAAAAATAGTTTGAATATGATCCACAATATCCGTAGATGACAATGGCACGTTGGTATTTTGAGCCTGGTGGCTCTATTTTTTGTTATAAACAGCCCTTTCTGGCAAGAGCTCGGAGAACAACCAGCGGAGACCACGTGACATCCAACGCAATCATGACGTCATTCATCTCGGGACGAGCAAAGCTACGGTGAGGCAGACGTCGAGAGGATGGCCTAGTCGTTTCAGCCACCGAAGCGGTTGCTTTTGTACGAATTTTGAGCGACGGGTTAATCTATAAGTTTGTAGAGGGATAACAGCGACTTCTGGGACACACAAAAGGGATTCTCGGAAAGAGGAGAGTTCCTCCTTCCCCTCTTCTCTCGTCATGGCCGGAGGCGAGACAGTTACCGTCACTACCTCTCAAGGTTCCTAGATGGGCATTAGAAACGAGGCGTTAGCGACGTCCACCAGGTGCTCTTTACTAATCGTTAATTTGTTTTAAAATTCCTTTTTGGGTCTTTTTCAACATGAGATTGGTGTGTCTGATGTGATACTGCTCTTTTGAACACATATGAAACAAAAAATATGCACCGAAATTTCGTTAAAGTATGCCTTTAATTCAAACAGAAATTTTTTTTTTCTTTCGAAAAGGGGGGTGAAAGACAAAATACATGGTGAAGATGGCATGGCACGCGTGTCTTCATTATGTATTTATCAGGCTCGGCAGACATTAGACACGGGGAATCGTCACTGTAAGGCGACTAATTAACTAAAATCGGTTCATTAACATTTTAAGTATTGGCTTAAAGGGGTCATGTTGCAATGGCAGTACTGATGGTAATTACAATTAGAGGCCAAACCAACTGAAAGAATTTGCAAAAATATACTGGTTTTTGAAATATTCATTAATTTTCCCACGTTTTAGCCAGATTTAAAAATTGCGCGCAGAAAACCCAGCTTACAATGACGGTTAGAAGAGCAATGTCGTTGTTTCAGTCACGTCGTCACTTGTGTCATCTGCGTACCCATCAGACACGCTGCTGAGATAAAGACTATGTCGCTCTTCTAAGCGTCATTGTGGGCAGGGCTTGTAGCACGCCTTTTGCACGCAATTTTTAAATCGGGTTAAAAAACATAAAAATGTATCTGGGTATCTAAAAAACGATTATATTTTTGCAAATTCTTTTAATTGGCCTGGCTGCTAATAGAAATTTCCGTCAATATTACAATTGCAAACATGACCCCTAAAACCAATACTTAAAAAGTTAATTCACGGATTTGAGATAATTAGCCTACTTACCAAGACGATTGTCCCCTCATCTAATGTCTGCCGAGCCTAATAAATACATGGTGAAAACAACACTGGTCTAACGCTTAGTCCCCCTTTTTTTTTTAAATCTGCTCAAATTAAAATGAAACACCCTGTATAATCCCCTTTAGAAAGAACTCTATGAATGCAGAATAATAAAACTGAAATGGCATTTACATGAAAAATATTTAGATTATTTGGTGTTCACGAAAAAGACAAAGGTTAGCAAATGTTTGTCCTAGCCAGGCAATACATAGTACCCGGCTAGGACGAACATCTAGGCTAACCGCTCTGCCCTCAACACCAATCAATCTACCTACATTTCAGCAAATGCAATAATTTGGGAAGGCAAAAGACGGTGAAATTTAACTCTGTCGTCATTAAGTTGATTTTGAAAAAGAATTCGGGTACCTGCGATCGACTATGACGGGCATTACGTAGCCACTGATTTGGCCCATCGTGACATAATACGCTTCTTGGTTGGCGCATGTGTGTGTGACTATTTTTAATGATTAAGATGCTGCTTGTTTTCTTCCTTACCCGTTTTGTGTACTAAACAAAAGTGGTTAGTTCAGCGGCGTCCTGTCGTGTTTGTTCCTTTACTCTTGTCTAAGTTTCTGTGCCGCTGTTTCTTCCCAAGATGTTCACCTCAAACCAACTAGCCCAACACGTCACATTGTTTTTCCTTGAACTTGTCCGAGATTAGTTTTAGACGGACCTTTTTATGAACAAATGCCGAGCATATACTCTCCTGCAAAACCAATACAAAGTAATCATTACAATTTACGAAACAACCCTCACACATGACAAAATAACCAATATGTTGTTCGTTATAAAAAGTATGTTTTACAAGCATTTTTATTTAAACTTTCCGCGAGTTCGATATCGACAATAATTCGCTGTACATGGATTTGTTCTAAACGCGTTTCACTGTAGTGATATTTTGATCAATATCTTGATTACTTGGAGTTATTAGTCACACGACTGACATGCTGATTACTATCTTTTTGGCAACCTCGAGTTATTAATGGCCCATTCAACTTTATTTTAGCTGAATTGACGTTTCGTTTACTCTTTCTTATTACTTTCGCTTATTATTGATACAATTAAGATTATATGAGTGCAATTAGAATTTGTGATAACTCTTTTTAGTACCTCTCGCTATTAGTGACACCACTGACTTAAAATGACTTCTTATTTCTATTAC